TTTTTATCATCACACCTTAAATTAAATCAGTAAACTTAAATTTTTTCTCTGTAGACAGGCCCTTTATGATCTAGTACTGAATGCCAGAGGCAGCATACTTTCTTTCCATCACAGAACTTCTAAGCCAGCATTTCTCATATGCAGCCACCATGGCCACATGCAGCCATCAAGGGTTTTTCTTGAAACTGCGGCCTCCTGGGCAGTGCGGATGTGGAGGAGAGGGGAGAGTGGAAGCAAAGTAGTAGTGCCTTCCCCAGCTTGGTGCTCCTCAATGCACTGCCTTGATGTTGGTTGCTGGGGTCTCCAAAAGGGGTTTGGCCCTGCCCCCAATCTGGAAGTACCTGGGGCACAATGCTGGAAAAGTAGGCAGTCTGTGAGGGCCCCGCCTTCCTGGGGTGGGAGGACTCGAGCTTTGGGCTTCAAGCTCTATCCCTGGGTCCTGCTCACATGGCTTTGGGCCCTGGCTGAAGAGGTTTGGGCTCTGACACTAGGCCCCATCCCCTGGCCATGGGGCTTGGGGCTGTCTCTCTTGACTCCCCCCCTCCCCCCATTCCCTCTCTCCACACACACCCCTACCTCTCTCCGCTGGTCCCTGTTGCCTCCCCCAAACCTCCATCTATCCCCCTGTAACTTCTGGCCCCCATTGCTTCCCTGCCCACCTCCCCATCCAGGGTTTAATTTGTTCCCAGACTAAGTAACTCTGTTATGAAAAGTGACACTTATGTTTGTTAATATCACTTTTCATAGTACACTTAGTAGCTAGCGGGAGGCAGTGAAAAATATTAAACATACAAATATCACCTTTCACAGCAACAGACTTATAGCTAGCAATTAATAAATTACAATAATTTGGACATGTTTGTGTGCATATTTATTTGCTTTTCCTAAAGTTAGTTAAGTATTTCAGGAAAAATTGTCAGAATCGCTAACAGTTGGTGGTCACACTCAGAGGCAGCCAAAAAAATTGTTGGGATAAATCCTGTCCTAAGCTATTCTCAGAAAGGAAGATAATGGGATAAATGTAAATGAGTAATGCCTAATTAAAAAGCTATCAAATGTGATGTTATCACATCAAATTTTAAGTGCAATAATGAAGTTGTGGTTTAGTAACCCATAAGATAGCTTAGTCTGAAATAGCAAAATTTAAATTTAGTTCAGTTAAGCACAACATGCCACATTTTCAATGTGCTGTGAAGGGAGCAATACATACAGCTCCCTAGACATGGCAAAGACAATAGCTTAGTAGGGATCACCACCACACATACACCAGGAACTATCAAGACACAAGCACTGTTCCTCCCCCAGCTCTGTGGGATGAAAGCATGGGACTTTTCAAAGTGGAACCAACCTCAGGAGCCAACAATTCCCTCCCCACAGTAGCCCATATGACAGCATATACTGGCAGCCCTGGATTCCAGCTAGGTCATCAGACTATTTACAAAGTTGCATTCTGCACTCTTCCCTAACTGGTTGTTAGGTCCCCTTTCTTTACAGTTCCTGTGCTGCAAGACTGGTTCTCCCTGCCATCCATGCTCATTCCAGCTTTTCCTCTGTCCTTCTGCACATCCTCCTCAATGCTGATCTGAGATACAGCAATAAAAAAAGTTTTGTTCCTTCATTTTTTAAAAACTTATTTTTCTGTAAGTCTTCTTCCGCTGCCAACTGTAACCTATACAGATGTATAACACCGCATCTACATCTTTACACGTTGAACAGCTTCTCTTTTTTTTATTTATACACCATGGCTACGTCTACACTGGCATGATTTTCCGGAAATGCTTTTCACGGAAATGTTTTCTGTTAAAAGCATTTTCGGAAAAGCGCGTCTAGATTGGCAGGACGCTTTTCCGGAAAAGCACTTTTTGCGGAAAAGCGTCCGTGGCCAATCTAGACGCGCTTTTCCGCAAAAAAGCCCCGATCATCATTTTCACAGTTGGGGCTTTTTTGCGGAAAACACTACTGTGCTGTCTACACTGGCCCTTTTCCGGAACAGTTTTCCAGAAAAAGACTTTTGCCCGAATGGGAGCAGCATAGTTTTTCCAGAAAAGCACTGATGATTTTACATTAGATCATCAGTGCTTTTCCGGAAATTCAAGCGGTCAGTGTAGACAGCTGGCAAGTTTTTCCGGAAAAGCGGCTGATTTTCCGGAATAACTTGCCAGTGTAGATAGCCAACATGGTTTCCAAAAACTCTGATTTAGATAGTGGAAGAGCAGAAGTTAGCAATAGAAAGCTATCTGTTCTCTCCTGCATGCTAGGTTGTATTTAACAGGACAAAAACAAAATAATCTAAATTTTGAAAATAATACTCTAGGAACTTTGCTCCCTTCCCTATAGTTTATATCATGTCTCCTCATATTCCTGCTCTTGATATGTTTTTATTTTTCATCATGCTCTCTCTCAATTGGAAGGTATAAACTCTACAGGGCACAAGTCTGGTCTAAATACTAGAAAACCAGTTACAGTAATATGACTATACAAACGAACAAAGTAAAATGGTTGTGTTTGCTATGCCATTATGGATGCTGTGTTCAGTGGCCAAATTGGGGGAAAAGGTGGTGACACTGTTGCTATCATATGACCCAAAATGAGACACTGCTCACTTTGAATTTTACAGCTTTTCAAAATATGGTTGTGCATGATCTCTGAGCTCAGCTCTCCACAGACAGGGCTCATCTTGATCCAAGCACTCTGCTACGCTTCTTGGGGTTAGCTCCTTTTTGACTGAGGGGGGGAGGGAACATCTCTCAAATTCAACATCTACTGGTACCACCAAAATGAGATTTTCAGAGTAAGAATGTAAACAACCAGTTGACTATCTGATAAGCAATAACTTATTGGATAGTCGAGGGACTAGTCACTTTCTTCCCCCCTTGCTGCTATCAGAAGCAGCAAGGGGGGGGAAGGAGGAGCCGGTGATGGGGGGGAGCCATCTTAAAAGCCAGCACCCCCAAGCACTGTCTCCGTGGGGGTGATGGGAGGCAGGGGGATAGCGAGGATCAGACCTAGGCTCACACCCAGTCGCAGATGCACCTCTGCTTTTTAAACGGCTGGTGCACAGCTGGGAGGGATCCTGCATGAGCTGGCAATCAGCTGTCCCAGCTCGCACTGGGTTCCTCCTGTTGCGCTTTAGCCTTTTAAATGGATTAAGAGGCTCTTAATCCAATTAAAAGGCAGAGCCATGGCAGGGCTCCCTGCTTATCAACTAATTGACTAGTCAATTAAACTAAATGTAACATCCCTAATTCAGAGCAAGTCGTACACATCCATGATTCTCTCTCCATTCTCACATGAAGAATGGAATACTTGATGTTGACTTTAAGTTACTACAGGTTGAACCTCTCTAGTTCAGAACTCTCTGGTCCAGAAACATCCATTGTCTGGAATTATTTTAGTCAGTCAGATATTCACTTTTCATAGGGGTGGCCAAGTTTCCCACAGTCCCATAAAGTTTGTTTACAGCCACCAGTCCTGACTCTCAGTGTTCTGTGCTGTTATTTTACTTAAATTTACTCCTAAATGTCCTCTAACAGCCCAGTAAGGAGTGGAAGTGTTGGTAATACTGCCAGACAATATTGACCTCCTGTCGTCCAGAAAACTGTCTGGTTCGGAACTTGTCAAGTACTGAGGGTGCCGGATTAGAGAGGTTCAACCTGTACTGGCATCTTCACTTAGATGAACAGACAATTCCCACCTCTCAGAATTAGTGTTCCAGGATCTCTCCTCTCTCTACACATCTTTATATCATTTAGACCCTTCACATTAGAGGTTTTCTTCACAACCATACTAGCTAGAGATTGACTTTAAAAAAATGAAAGCTGAGATTCTGGAGACTTTTGAGAGAAGAGTCAGCACACTGTGGCACCATGTACCTCCTGAATCCAAGCTCTGGTTGTGTGCTAAAGGTATTAGTGAATAACTACTATTACTGAACTATTCTAATGTGAAAAATCAGTGACTGTACAAACACTAGGGCTATGTCTACACTGGCCATTCTTGTGCAAGAACATATGTAAATGAGGCACGGCGATGAATATTGCATGCCTCATTTGCATACTTAATGAGCCACCATTTTGCACAAGGGGCTATTGCATAAGAAGGAGCAGTCTATGCTGCTCCTTCTTGTGCAAAAACCCCCTCTTGTGCAAGAGCCTGAAAATAAGCAGACTGCTCCTTCTTCCACAAAAGCCTCTTGCACAAAAATGGTGGTTCATTTGCATATGTTCTTGTGCAAGACTGACCAGTGTAGATGTAGCCTATGTGTTTCATAGGCTACTTTAGGGCTCAAGCCTGTCCCTCCATATTAAAGCTTGTCCCAAAATTAATCTTATAAAAAGGCAGCTATTTTACTTTTACAAGGAAAGATTGAACCACACAGGCAGCAGTATTTAGGCTGTATATCGGTGTTGCCCTTACTCCCTGAAGAAACAAAGTGATGGACATTTTATGGATATTCGTATGCTCAAAATGAAATTATGCTAACAGGAATAGAATATAAACTAATTGAAACCTAAAGGACTAGATCATGCCAATACTTACACATCTTTAAGGAGTTTCACTGAAGGAAAATCATCAGGCAGACTAGCTACAATTTCAAAATGGAAAGATGGATTTTATTTTAATTGGGTTACCAGTTTTGTAATTTAAAAATGATTCTACAAAATCAAAAAAGTAACTAACTAACAGAACTGGTCAAATAATATTTGCTAATAACTAATTTGATAAACTTTGCAATTTCTCTCAAATTATTTGATAAACTTCTAAAATTAATTATTCACCAGTCTTAGAATATGGAGGTAACTATGAAAAAAATATCAACCTTTTCTTAACGACACCTCATTCACCCACTTTTCAAAATTTCTATGCTTTGGTCACATAACACATCTTTAAAAAATAAAGCATCTAATACTTACGCTTGGCAGGAAATTAATTAATATACTTGCAAAAGAGTTCAAGAATATTCCTGATACTTAACACGTATTATTTTGACAAAAATTTACCTGATTGTCATATTTAAGAGACTGTGTCCCAACCAAAAATCGAATTGCATCCGTTTCTGCTGTCTGAGGTGTTAAAGCTCGTGCCTAGCAAAAAAAAAAAAAAAAAACACAAATATTGTATAGAAACACAATACATTAAGAATTTGTGAAAATCTTGGAACATAAAAAAATCATGTAATTTCCTTAAGCACCAAACTTTCACGCTGTATTTTTCAGCTGAATTATATCTGTATTTAGACTATTTAACTAAATATTTAGTGTAGGGATTGCTTTTCACATCTGTAAAGAATCTTCTAGGGCTGTCAAAAGTGATTAAATTAAAATAATCACAATTAACTGTGTGATTAAAAACATTAATAATGATTAATCATGCTGTTAAGCAATAGAATACAATTTATTCAAATATTCTGGAAGTTTTCTACATTTTAAAAAAATACTGATTTCAATTCAACACAGAATACGAAGTGTACAGTGTTCACTTACAAATATTTGTACAGTAAAAATTGTATTTTTAAATTCACCTAATATAATTACTATAGTGTAGTCTCTTTATCATGGAGTTGAATTTACAGTACGTAAAATTATGTACCAAAAAGGTAAATCGTTAGACCCTATAAGTCCACTCAGTTCTACTTCTTATTCAGCCAAACATTTCAACAAACAAGTTTGTTTACATTTGCAAATAATACTGCCCTCTTCTTGTTTACCTGTCACCTGAAAGAAAGGGCATTCATATGGCAATGTTTTAGCCTACGTCAAAGATATTTATGTGCCAGATGCTTCTCCCTGCACTGAGTCTATACAAAGCTAGTGTTACTAGTCTTTATGTTCAGTGACATCAAGAGCTCACAAAAAAGTTTTAATTTGTATGTGGGTTTACATTGTGGATTTTCCCCCTGCTATAGTGTGAACTTCTTTTTATTTCAAATCTCCTGCCAAGTTCTTTTCATGAAAGCACCACTAGAAACAACACATTTGTTACAATTCTCCTTCAATCAAATACACTTCCGTTGTTTAACAAGTGGAGTAAAACAAAACCATAAAAAAGATCTCCTAAGTCTTTCATGGAATAAAGAAATACTGGTAAGAACTTTGTTTCCTCATCTTTAAAGAGCTTCTTCTTAAAAGCAGCAATTTAGACTCAGGATGTACTTTAAAAAATAAGTGACTGTCACCATATGCTGACATTTGTCTACGTACAATCAACTTTTTCTTCGTCTTCTCGCCTCCAAAAAAAAGTGGCAATTGTATTTATCCCACTTTACTGAAAATATGAAAAAAATCTATGAAGAAATATATTATAATTTCAGATATTTAAAGATAAAGAAGTGACTTCCCATATGTTATCCTCATTCAAAGAATAGAAATGCATCTATATTTATCAAATTGAGATTTGTTGATAGGAGCTTACCAGTATCTGAAGTTTGATTCTTAATAGGAATAGCAGACATTCAGATGGTTCATGCACAAGTATGCAAATCTGTTATTTTTTATTGTGTCTACTCAAGCAAGTTGATTCAGAGAAAGTCATAAAAGTAAAATAAACAACTATGGATGTGCAAAAATTACTGCCCACCATATTTGTCTGTATCTTTTTCCTTCTTAGAATTAAATCGTAAGCTCCTTGAGATAGGGACTATCTTTCTGTTCTGTGTTTGTACAGCACCTGGCACAATGGATGCTCCTTGTCCCTAATTTGGGCTCCTCAGTGCTATTGCAATACAAATAAAAAATGATAATTTTAATAGGCAATAGATATTTTGGATGGGTATGACATTTGCTTTGAGCATGTGGTCAAAATATAGGAGCGAAGTACTTCAGGCTTGGGCTATTGGTACTAAGCTCTCTACCCCTAACTTAATTATAGACTTTGGTACTCAGTCACTGTTCATGGATGCAATCCTACCTCATTTGAAGTATCCATAGTCTAATTCATGAGCAGTGGGGCGGAAAGCCTCACCAGTGCCCTGGGCAAGGCAGGGGCAGCTCTGCACCTTTAGAAGGAGCAGGGCCTTGGGCAGAAGCGACAGGGCTGAGTCTTGCCCCATTTGCACCCCCTTTTGGCAGGCCTGCTCACCAGAAAACTTGAGTCACAGAAAGCTCCAGCCCCATACTCAAGCTGCTACTGAACAGGTATAGGTAGACCCGAGCTCAGGACTGGACAAGAGGCTGTCAGCGGCTGGATCCGACCTGCCTAACACTTTCCCCGCCAACACACTGCCTGGGAGGCGCAAGCCATTTCAACTTCTGCTATGTAAAGGGCTTGTACTTCCCTGGCGGATCGCAGGCAACAGGTTAGCGGCATAGCCAGGAGCTGCAGGACCTTTTAACTGTTTCTATTTAAAGGCCCCATCCCTTCCATCCTGCCAGGATGGCCCGTGACCACTTCTGAAAATTATGAAGTGCCCCCCCCCCTTCAAAAATGATTGCCCATGCCTACCCTGGCTAATACTGAAATACAATCATTATACTGAAAAGCATATGAACCACAAAGACATAATCTAGTCAACTGAATATAATGAATTATTATTTTCATTTACTGTATCTTCAAGCAGTGTGTAAAGCCATGCATACCTACGGAATAACTATATGCATGCGAAAATGTGTCTATAATGCATCATCATCTGATTCCAAGGTAGAAAAACTATCTTACTTTTTGTAGCAGCAGTATGAGTTCTGAATAAATGTAAAACAAACCTTCCATCCCTTGACAACAGTAAAAAAAGGTGACAAGATATTACTCGAAGGAAACAGAAATCTGAGAGGTTGTTGGGGATGCAGAGGTGGGCAAGATGTGAAATCACTAAAAGAAAAAGTATAACCTACAATGAGCTCTGTGCAAGCTCATATATTTCACCAAAAGAAGTTGATCCAATAAAAGATATTACCTAACCCACCTTGTCTTTCTACCAGAGGGTCTTACTACATTAAACATTCCAGAACACATATGCCAGAGTAGATGTGATGTTATCTTGTCATCAAGGAAAAGCTACTTTATGGGTAACTACATCTGACCCTGGCAGTTTCAGTCTGATTAAATTGAAACAAAAAATTTAAAATGTATGCACTAAGTGGTTAAATAGTGCTGATGTGTGCTTTTAAACAGCTATTGCTGCTTTCCACTACAGAAATGGTTGCATTTCAGCATTTTATGAGCCTTTAGAATGGAAGGCTAATAAGCAAATACTGCTGAAAACTGATTTCTAGAGACTTCTATGACCCACGGACCCCTTGATCCAACTGCCAGAAGGCACGAGGGGTACAAAGGGTTTACAGAAATCCCATGGGTCAGGCATATTCCTACAAATCTGCCAAAAAATGTCATATAAGAGCTATAATGAAAACCTGTATCACACTGGTCATCCTAGACATTGTGAGATGTGTGTATGGAAATACATAAAGAACTATTTATATATACGAAAATTTATGTTTGCTAATCACCAAAAGGTGAGTTCCATAACATTGGCAGGGAGTGGGGAAGAGAGTTATAGCACCCTGGCTGGTCATGTGCCATCTAAGTATTGAATAATTCACATGGACGCCTATCTACAGTAAAAGGAACATTTCACAGAATTGTAGAATACTAGAACTGGAAGGGACCTTGAGAAGTCATCAGGTCCAGTCCCCTGCCATTATGGCAGGACTAAGCATCATCCAGATCATCCCTGACAGATGTCTAGCCAACCTTTAAAAAGACTTGGACAGTTCAGTATAAAAATGAGATGACTAAAGGGTATGACCGAGTTTATAAAATCATATAAAATCATTAATGGCTCAGAAAAAGGCAATAATTCCATAAGGAAGTGTTATTTATCTCTTCACATAACACAAGAAACCAGGGTCACAAAACGGAATTAATAGACAACAGGTTTAAAACAAGCATAAGAACGTACTCCTGTATACAATGCATTGTTAACCTATGGAACTAATTGCTGAGGGATGTT